TCCCCCCCAAGAACACCTGGCCACCGACAGGCAATCATGATAGGGATGAGCGGGAGCCAAAGGAAACATTTAAAAGCATGATGAGGGGGAGATTCACTGCATTGGACAACCGCTACGCCGCCAATCGCTACGCCCTGGCGTCACGACAGCTCCACACGTGTCCATGGCCAGCTGTCATCTCTATAGCAAGCCCAATCTCCCACCACTCCACATGCCGTATGTGCCAACTCCCAACCCCCAACCACCGCAGGAAGCACCCCACCTCGCTTTTCTACCCTGACCCACACCTTCAGGCCATCTTCCGGCGTGCCGTGTCAGTGGTGGTTGGCTGGGTCAACGGCCTCACCGGATGCCGTACACTATGGAGCCCGCCATCCTGGGCCGGGAGCTGCTCAATGAGCCCCGGCGCGAGGCCTCCAGGGAGGGACCTGGGAACATCGTATTGCGGGTGCGTGTGAGGAATTGCACTAAAATGGGTGTGGTGTATATGGGTCTGAAGGTTGTAGAGGTGTTCGGGTTTTCCTTCGGTTTTAGGTGAGAGCCTGGGGTCCGTCACGTAAGGTACAAGGGCTGCTACGAGGCCGCATGTCCGCGGGAATTCGCCGACTAACTAATGCTATCCCCTCATCACCTCGTTTGTTGGTTTGCACTTCAAAAAAAGGACTTCTTGGGCAGCTTTAGCAACGCTGGCAATATGTGCATGTATGTATGTATGTCTATTTTAGAACATGTTCTATGTCTATTTTAGAACATACATAGAACATAAAAGAGTATCATCCATTCACATTGCCAAAGAGTATCATCCATTCACATTGCCATGAATTTATAATAGCGCCTTTCACCGCGCGCTCGGCCACCTTGTCAACACTGTGAAATGTCTGTTTGTATCCCTGTTATGTAGCTGTACGTATGTATGTAATGACCCGTACAAACAGAAGTGGGTGAGCTCCACGGCGGACTTCGTTCGGGAGCTAGACCGTAACCACATGATTACGGTGGGGTTGGAGGGCTTCTTCGAAGCCAGGTAGCGGGCGGGGAAGGGCTCACTTCCTTCTATTCTGCAAAACATGCCGTATATCGTACATTAATAATACGATTTGATGCTTTGAGAGCTGGATGTTTCTTTCCGACGTTTTCGACAGCAATTTTATTAAACGTCGGTTTTTTAAATGTCGCTTTGTAGGTCTTTCCTGCGCAAGTGGGTTCAGACCCACGCGACACTATGCGCCGGATCGCGACTTCGGAAGCCGCTTGAGTTGTCCGATGTGCGGCCTTAGGGTGCCCTGGGTGCATGGAGCAAAGTGGGAATACAATTTAGTGGAGCAGCACCGGGCGGATCCATCCGTCATCCCGGCCATCGCAGCCTTGGGCATGGCAAAAAACATCCTTTACCGGGGGGAGTTGACAAGCTGCCTTTTTTGTGTTAAAGGGCGTCCCATTCGCCGCCGGCTCCAAGCAAGCTTTCGGGCGATCAATACTGCGATGCCGTACAGGAATCCTCGTCGCTTTTGTAACAAGCTCTGACATCATGCTATGTATATTTCACGTGTTTCTTTCGCCTCAGAGTTCGGCAAGCGCAACCCGAATAGCTACCACGGCCGCGACTGTGCTTACAACTTGGACCGAGGGGAGGCCTTCAGAGAGGTACATCCGTACACATTCCTTCGTATGCCCGTACACGTTTTTGCCGTACGTGGTGTGGTCAGTTGTCAGATAGACGCTGTGTTTCTTGTTGTTATCATGCTCCAGAAGCACGCTTCTCTTGTTGTGGACTTGTCCTACAGGTTCTGGACTGGTGTCTGGAGCTACCCTCCCACCCCCATCAGCATTCAGCTACGTGCGCGCTCGCAGCATCAGCAGCCCTAGCGGCCTCAGCAGCAGCTGTGATGCCCGGATATGGTGCTCGCGGCGTCGCAGCAATCCTCCAAACCCTGCACAGCTGCACAGTGCTGACCGCAGTCTGCTCCGCGACACAAAAACGTTTTGTTAACCTTCCATTAGAGCTTTAACGCCGACGGCCGCCCCCACCCCCGCCCCCGCCACAAGCAACATTGCTACACCTGCTGTGCTACGATCGCAGCCATATCATTCCCTCACATCATCAGGCTCTGTCGCTATTTCACGCGGCAACACGACAGCTGCTGCAGCCGCTGCAGCAGGTACGCCTTCTCTCCTCCATTCTCTCTCCATCCTTTCCGACATCTGGGCTCCTGCATGTGCCCGCACACACGTGTTGGGGGTTGCACATGTTTCAAACTTAGCACTGGGCACTGTGAAAAATCCTAGCACTGTGCCTGCCGGGGAAGTTGTTACGATCAAGGCCACCAATGCTGTGCTGGATAGGCCCGTGTTGTCGCTGCTGCTGCTGGCAGTGTGCTCCCAAGGTAGAGCCTGATAGCCACTTCAGGACGGGTAGAGCCTGCTAGCACTATTCTGCCTGCCGAGAGAGTTGATGCTCTATGGCCCTCCCCCGCCCCCAGACCCGGCGACTTACCAGCAGAACTTAAATAGGTGCGAACCTGCACAGCCAAAGCAGCAAAACCAGGTGGTCAGACGCTGGTTGAAAATCAGTCATTGCAAGGGGGGCAGACTATTCATACACCCGCACCTATTACAAGACAAAAGCTCGGATGTATGTGTCCAGCAGCATGCAGTGAAGGTTGGGTTTTCCTCTGTTGCTGTAAAACTTCTTCAGCTCCTCCTTGAAATTATTGCTGCGCTGTGAAGCAGAGGCATTGCCATGTGAATAGGTGAGGTTGGAGGCCTGCAGCTTCACCACAATGCTGACCACACCCTCCACCCTGTTTTGGCCAGCCTGTATACTGCAGTATATATTGTTGTTCGCTGCACATGCCCTGCAGGCGTCTTGCAACAGATGCTGACCAGATTGGACACGGTACAGGCTGGCCAAAACAGCTGTTTTGGCCAGCCTGTAACTGTTTTGGCCAGCCTGTATACTGCAGTATATATTCTTGTTCGCT